ATGTATGATGTGAAAGATTGTCGAGTTATATTTCCTTGGACACGATTCGTCCTCCATTCTGGATGACAAACCAGAAATTGTGTTTTATGTCATGTATGATGTGAAAGGTGGACAGATGGACCCTTGTGTGCTCCAACTTTACTGTATGAATGATAATTATGTGAATCCCACCTGTACCCTTTTCTACATTCTGTCCCTTACCCTTCCCTTGCCGCAAGACCAGACATAACGAAAGATAAAAATATAGCCGTTTTTTTTTCCCTTCCCCCAGTACTCTTGAAAATGTAGATTTTTTTTTAATAAATTATTTGACAGTTTCAAATAAACTCATTTAATGACCACTAATATCTCTCTCAAAATCATTCATATTACATCATACCTTCAGACACAAATTAACCCTAATATACCATAATGTACGACTCGAATTCTTAACTTTCTGAAACGCCAGTTATAAAGATAATGGTGAAAATATTCTACAAGAGCAACTCCAACGATACTAATTAAAATAGCTATTCAAAATATATTTTTTATTACATTATCTATTTTAGAGAGCAACTACTAATAATTCAATCCAACAACACTCTCTATTTTAACTAACTAATTCAACCACAATTCACAAATTTTCACAGACCATGTTTTTAGTTCAAACCATTTTCTTAGATTTTGTCATTCATTGCTAAACCAAAAAACCAAAAAAAATCCAGAAAAAATTCATAGCCAACCAGAAAAATTCCACACAACCCAAGCAATGGACCACAACAACTCAATCCACACAACCCAAACAAAAATTTTCATGATAAGAAAATTTCATTACCTCTAATTTCTTCTCTCCACCACATCGGAACAGAGTGAAGACACACACACACACACAGAGAACCAAGAGACAGATTCAATGGTTCAGTCGATCTTCAGTGGGAACTGAGACAAATTTCGCTTGATTTTTCGTGGATTTTTTAGTAGGTTTTTCAATGGATTTTTTTGGCGGGATTTCAATGAATTTTTTGTGGGTTTTCAATAAATTTTTGGTCGATTTTCATATATTTTTTGTGAGAATTCAATGAATTTTTAGCAGGTTTTTCTATTGTATAAATACACAGAGCTTCTGTGTGAGAGAGAGAGAGAGAGAGAACTCGATTGGATGATGAAGCTTTTGTGATTGATAAAGACAAAATTTGGGTGTTGTGGAGCTTCTACACTATGTAGCTTCTAAGTGTGATAGAGAGAGAGAGAGAGAGAGAGAGAGGGAAGAAGAGGAAATTGGCGCAAGAAACAATGAAGTGGCTCACCAAACATAACAAGTGGATAATGGGTTATGAAAAATAGATAGTAAAATAAATAGCCTGTTGGAGCCACATTTTAAAGAGAAGCTATCTAAAATAGCTAAGGACTCTTTACCGAGTCATTTGGAGTTGCTCTAAAAATTCAATGGCAACATTGCTAACTACCAAGTGTTTTGGCTGTTGTCAAGAGGTATTAGTATTGGACTCCCAGCATTTATGCAATCAAATAACACAAGGACTCTAGCTGACAAGAAGATCAAAGACTACCCAGCTCTTGTTTAATCAAAAACCATAGCTATAAATCTCCTCCAAGAAATGTGAGACAGGGCTTTCTTTGCCGGTGTCTCAGGTATCCTTACCCATGCTCTGAAGTAGAACTGTGATAAATCCTTTTTGGAGTTTGATGATCTTCAAGAATCACATCAAGAGGGACTTGCTTGTGCAAGAACGATAAGCATCATGGAAACTGGAGTAGCATTGGCAGCGAGAACGGGTCGCAATTGCAACTTCAGTGACAAGTGATCCATCTCAAGTAGTATTACAACGAAAAACAGGGTTTGGTAGCAACTAGCAAAGCAGTAGAAATTGCCCCCTTTCCCTTTAGTGGACAGTTCAATAAGAAACATATCTTCTTCACAACAGTGGTGTCAGTCATATTTCACGAAGTGAGGAGAGAGAAACGCCCGTAAATAGGATAGGTAGCCTGACCAATGATCTTACAGTTCCAGTAGAGCAAAAGAACCAGTGACACACAGCAAGTCTTGTCATCATATCTTCTTTTCTTTGGACCATATTTACAAATGAATATGCAAGAACCAATCTTCATTGAATCGCCAATTTTGTGAACTTTGCAACAAAAAGTCCACTAGTTCGAGAAGTTGAAGGATCAAAGCGTAAGGTCTTTGGTATCCGCCCACTCTTGCAAGGCCAATTTTTCACAGCATCAATCTCCAGCAACTCTACAAAATAAGAGAATATACTGCACAAGTCAGACGAGAGCAAAAGACAAAAAAAGAATCCATTTGTTGCAACTGAAACTATATAAGGGCATATGCATAACCAAACCACTTGGGGATGCGTTTCAAATTATGCAATGGGTTTCCAGAGCAAGCATTTGCTCGTTAAAATACCCAACATCCGTTTTATGCCAACATTATAGAGTAAGCCACATATGATCATACGAAGGTACAGAACATGATATTTATCAGCTAGATTTAGAAGAACCAAACAAAACTTAACTGGCAGAAGCGTTTTGTAAAAGAAACTGATTCACCACATCTTCATTCTGAGAAACTGTTAAACTATTCCATCATCAAAAGATAAAATCCAAAAGTGGGTTATAAGATGCCTTATCCAGGGAAAAGGAAAAAGATACTGTAATGCCTGTAGATGAAACCTGCAAGTGCTGTAGACAAGAAATCCTCCAAGTTTTAGCAATCTAAAGCCATTGGTTAGAAGACGTAACTGCAAGGCAACAACAAAACACATAGCTTAAATGAGATGGAGGACAAGTAAGGGGAAGAGGAGCAGGAGAAGAAAAGGGAAGGTCGCCAGTCCCCAGAAATGTGATGTTAATTCCATATAACTCAACGAAACAAACTTTTAGTTGCCACATGCTGATCTACACAAATGAAGATGGCAGATGGTTAGCAGGCAGAGTAAGCTCGCAATCTTTGTGAAGAAATGACTGAAATCGTTTTTAGATATTGAGTCCTTTTCACAAAAGTGGTGCTGCACTTCTAAGTTACAAGAAACAACAAAAATCACTAGGGCACGCAGAGGTACCCTGAATACAGCATAATACAAGTTCACCAGCACCCTTTTACAATCATATGCGGTAGACAATACAGGAGTAACATTTGAAAGGTGAATCCTTGGGAGATGAAAGCAAATGGGTTGGAACCCCAAATACCACAAGTCAACACGAAATAGAAAGCACCTGTATGAATCCTTAATGCCATAGAGTCAGAATATGCAAAAATAGCATTTCTGATGAACTTGATACTTCATGAAACGAAATTTTATTTGGTGAAAATTTAACTGTTAACCGCAAAAGCTCAAACTTCTTTTTTTGGGGTCAAACTTATTCAATGCAATATTAAAAATCCTCAGTAGTAACTTAATAACCTAGTTCCTTTTAACAATGATATGAACTCTTTTCATAACTAGGGTAAACATAACTGTGTAAGCCACTTTAGATTTAAAAGGTAACAAATAATATTGCAATACCAAGAAATGACAAACTTCTAGGAGCACAAGCCCCCAGAAGTTGCTGGCTCGAGTGGATAACATGTGCACCATAACTAAAGATGTCTGTCTGAAGCTAAAGTTGTACAAGTTACCTGAAGCACAGTCAAGTCATCAGTTCTTTCTGCACATAATACACGACGCTGAAGCGTTGTCCAGCCCCATTGTTCAAATTTTTGGATGTGTCTAGTTGAACCATCATGTGTGCACTCTGCATCCACCAGGACCTGATTTATGTACCACCAGTCATTAGCTTTTTCAACATAATGAAGAAACAGAAGTACATGAAAACCTTCCAGCCACTAAAAAGAAAATTAAGCCATCTACATAGAGAATGTCTCAAGATACTCATAATGAACACGCTCAGCTTGACTTGAGAATGAACATGTGGATTAGAGAAAGCAATCACAACTTAAATTGAAAAAAAAATGGAAAAAGAAAAATACATATTGAGTAACAAGAAAATTGAATTTACCTTGTCATAGCCACAGTGCAGAAGCTCGTTGCTATCCACAGTTTGATATAATTCATGTCTACTGATTCCAATCACTCCAGAACGTCTTCCGTAATATATAAGCTCTGGATCTTGAATCCGAGAAACTAATTGTGAAGCACCATTTTCCCTTACTTTAGCTGCCCTTTTCCTTTCTTTCCATGGTCTTCTAGATTTCCACTCCTTGTATACATCAAACTTTTCTTGCGGAGCAGATGCACCTGTTTAATACTAGAAAGAATGATAATAATTCAAAACAGGGAGATAAGTAGAACTAATCAGCAACAAAATTAGTCGTATCACAATTTGAGCCTGTGGGACTATATGAGAAATTTTCTCAGATATATTACCTGATTGAGAATCTGAATGAGCCCTGGTAGGAACTAAAGAAAATGTTGTTCCATCAGCAACAAACAGACGGCAACAATCACCAAGTCCATACTTCTGCAGCATAGTTCTACAGGCTGCTAACCGATGTCTTGCCACATCAACACCAGTCACAGAACCCAAGCTGTCAAGAACATCTACCATCATACATAATTTGGCACCTGAACGTATTGAATAGAAGGCAAATCAATTTGGGTGAATTATATTGCCATAGAAAATTTGAACAAGGAAATCCACATATCGTAGATGGTGCATAAAATAAATATCTCATGTTATGTAAGTCATTCATCCCGAAAAAAAAATACTAGAAGATTGCATCATATTTACTAAATACTATGACATATTGGTTTGATTGTGCTAAACAAGGGCAGCTCAACATAAATAGGGCCCTAGGTGAAAACTTTACACGGGTCCCTACTAATATTTTGTGTATTAATATATTAATATATATATATAATTTTTAATTATCATAATTTAATTTTTTATTTATTTAACTAATTGGACCTTTTTCTACTAATAAATCCATTAATTTTGTATAAATATTCTTCCAATTTTCCAGACCATATATATTTGTAGGAACAAAATTATACTTTTTATCAATACATTCACATTCCTTTTCTGATTCATTTCCTTGTGAATCTCTTTTATGTTCTTTTGTTTCGATTGCATGATTTTGTTGTTGTTCACTATAAATTATCACTTCCATTTCAACTAATGTTTTGTTTAACACTGATAATAAATTTATGAAGTACCCATTTTTGAGCTTGAATGAATTCATCTTCTTTTTTCTCTTTCTTTTTTTAACGTTTTTCATAGCCATAGTCATATTAGACATATTAACGATTAAAAACTAATTTACAAATAAAAAAAACATAACTTTATAATTGCTAGAATTGAAATAAAATAAAATATTAAGTTTAGAAACAACACAACTTCGCAAAAGCAAAACCCCCAAATTATATTTTCTAATAATATCATCCTTTAATCTTTTTGCACCACAAATTAAAGCCCAGTCGACCAACCATTACTGACAGATAAAAAAAATTTATAGCACAATCACTATTAATCCAACAGTAAAATAAGAGTCATTATTAAACTAGATGAACTATCTTGCACAACAATAAAGATTTTGTTAGTTGTCAGCACAATCATTAATAAATTAGATGAAATATTTAATAAAAAATATTTACAGATCTTTGTATAAAGGAACAAAAACATATATTATATATAAATTTATTGAGATTCCCATGTATTGTTGTGCAAGATACATATAAGAAAGAAGAAAAAAATTTACCTTTTAGTTTACACTTTACAGGTGCTACTATATAAGAAATATTATGAGTTGTGTCGTTGTGAGCACCAACCACCAAACACAAGCGCCATTTAGAGAGAGAGAGATGTAGAGAGAGAGAGAGACATTGAGCAGCAGAGTTGTTCAAAGAGCGTGAGGAGGATATTTTTTGGGGGGCAGAATTAGGTTTAATATTCACACTAGGGTTTCTATTTTAGAGATTTTATTGGGCTTAACCAAATGGAGAGTAACTTTGGGCTTAACAAAGCTAGGTATTGATTTGGCCTCTTAAAATTTTGGCCCCTAAAAATTAGGGTCCTATCGGAAACTCAAAAATGGAAAAAAAATGTGCCTCATATACTTATGGGTTAAATTTTTGGGGGCTCTCTAACACCAGGGGCCCTAGGCAGCCACCTTAGTGGCCTATGCCTAGGGCCGGCACTGGTGCTAAATGCAGTGCTGTAGGTGATATGTAAATGCTTTTAAAATATAATGTGACCTTCCTAAAAATTGTTAGGAACTAGGATGCCCCTGTATCAACGAAAAAATGAACCTTCAACTAGAAACTCGATATTAGCCCAATAGTCTATGTTCTGGAGAATTGGATAAAAGAAAGTATCATTCCAGGATCCTGCAGACAACATAACTTTTACAACACTAACTAAGCCTTTTACAATTCCAAAGTAGGCCGGGATGGACTAGATGGTGTCAAAACCCATTACTTCAAGAGAAAATTTATTTTCCTTTTATGCATGCATCCTCTTACTTTGAGATATACACCAATGTTGTGAGTCCACTTGGTTCTTAGGGACAGGTGGGACTCTTTCAAGAACATTGCCAAGCGCTAATGAATAGTTTGAGGTGTCCAAGTTTTAAAATTTAAGCTTAAGTGGTATCAAATTAGATCAATCAACCATCATAACTGACTAATAAAGTTGGAAGTTCAAACTTAACTACAATTGACCATCAAAACTAACCAGGAGCAGCGCACAAATCTAATATGTGATCTCCGGCTGAAATATTCAAAGCTGAAACAGCAGCTCCAGATGCAGCATCAATTCCATATATCTGAGTAAAAAACCAAAACAGGAAAACATTTACAATATGTGTGAGTGTGTACTTGTAAAGGTCAACTTCAAAAAGTAACATTTTGATTTATGCCTCAGCCAGTAGACAGAATAGAATAAAAAATCAATCAATTATACACTAATTAAACAGCAGGAATGAAAAAAATAAAGACAAAAAATCGTCAACATCCATCCCCAGACAAGGAAAACGAATACTCAGGACTTTGTCAAACATGCACTTGGAAAGCTAAGAAGAATCCCTCTCTTTGAGGCGACACAGTAATACATCAGACAGATAATAATATCACTAGAAGAAAACTCCAAAGGTCACCTTTCCTTCTTGATATGCCTTTGAGTTAGCAATCTGAATATGAGGTGGAAGAGAGTAGAAATTGGGCATCCAACCCACTTTCTCAAGCTTACATTTAATCTCACCTTCAATCTCTTCAACATAAGCTTCACAACCAGGTTTTAACCTTCCATAAAACAAACAAAATACATAAGCAGAAAAACTAAAATCCACAAGGTCCGGATAAAAATAAACAATCACAAACAACTAATTATTTTCACTTCAACAGTTCCTTTTTTTCCCACATGCAAGGGGCAACTAGATTCTTCAATACCCAATTTTGGGGTTTTAATGGCATGCAAATTTTTATAAGTTGCCAACGTATCTAATTTAAAATCTTCCTCACAATACAATGCAAAACGAACCAAAAAGACTGAGGTTAAGAGTACCTTATATAACGAGGAATCGAATCAATTGCAGTATATATTGAAGGATCGAGACCATTCTCAGTAAGGAAGTCAAGAAATGCTTCTGGCAATAGCAAATTTGAGGTTGCTTCCACGTCCATTGATAGTTAAACTATAGGAGAATAGTACCAGCAAATCAAACAATCCGCTGGAGAACCTAAAAGATTAGGCAGGATAAATGGAAAAAATCTTCTTCTTCTTCTTTTTTGAAGAACGCAATACGGAAAACAGGGGGAAAAAACAGGTATTGAATCTAAAACTTCCGAAACCCTACCTGAAATTTATGGAGAGAGAAAAAGCCGAGTTGAAGATTTTGGCGAGAGTGGAGTCGCGGTTGCAGAGCAATCTTTGTCGCGGTTTGTTTGGTACGCGTAAAAGCCGAATGGGTTTGGCTGGGTACAAATATATAATTGAGTAAAATCGGTAATTGATAATATAAAATAGGATATATTTTAATAAATTTATTCAACGGTTTCAAATAAACTCATTTAAGTACCATTAATATTCTTTTTAAAATCATTCACATAGAATTTTACTATTCACTCTTCACTCTCTCTCTCTCTCTATCAGATCTCTACTTTTTCAAATTAGGCGGTTGATTTACATTACCCCGCGTGTTTAGATACAGATTAATCCTAGTATATTGATATTATGGGTTGTGTCGGTCTTCAATCTTTGAGTTGTATTAATTTTATCTCTCAATTTTTTAGTTTAATAGAAAATAATAATTTAAATTGACTAACGAAGATGTTTATGTGATCACACTTGAAGTGTCACTTTGGTCCCTCAGATTTGGAATTTGTATTATTTTGGTTCTTCAAGTTTATAGTTTTTGTCAATTTTATCCTTAAAAGTTTTTAAAGAATGCGTCTTAAGTGAGATCACATAAGATACACATGATAATCTCCATTATTAAATTTTAGCTATCATTTTTTATTAGACCAAAGTAACATAAATTAAAAAGTTAAGAGATTAAATTGACATAATTAAAAAATTAGGGACCAAACTAACACAATACTAATAATTTGAGGACCATTTTTTACCTTATATATTTGGACTAGCAATGCACCATGTGAATAATTTTAGTACACAAAAATTGATAAAACATATTAGGTATATGTGTATTTGAATTAAATATCATATCAAACTTGTCAAACTTAATTTTTCATTGCTCATATTCTATTTTAAGATTATAAGAACTTTGTACGCACCTAAAATTCATTGTTCTAACTATAACAAGAAAGATTAAAATAAATAGTTAAAGTTTTATGTTTTTTAGAATATTGTGAGTGAGAGTAATTTTTTAATAGTGTTTGAAAAATTAAATTTTTTTAAATTCATTTGATTAGGATTCTACTTATAATTCTTTAAATAAAATAAAATAATTGTCAATATACTAATCATAATGAAACTTTACTATAATTAAGAATTAGTTTGGTCAATTGTGATAAAATTTAACATATTACTCTATATATTGTAAAGCATTCTAAAAAATACAAATTTTACTTAAAAATACTCCACAATCTATTTTTAAATAAAATCTTAATACAGCTTAGAAAATTTATTGTGACTGAAAAATTATAATAATAAAACATAAATTGATTTTTAAAAACTATATATGTAAGTAAAATGTTATTTGAACCTAAAAATCTGACATAATTTATTGACCTAATGACATGGTTTCATTGAAACCATTGACTTAACACCAAGTTCCAATGTTTGATGGAGCCCACAGTCAATCCAAAAATCATAATGAATTAAGTTAGCAAATTAGGTCAGTAAATTCTTTTTTTATCTTAAAAGTAAAAGGGTTAAATTTTTTGATGAAAAAAAAAATACACATATACAGGCATAATGTTATCTTTGCATTATGGAGTTTTTATATATTTTTTTAACATTTTATTGAAAATATAATAATGCATATTTTTTAAGGATAATATAATTAATCAAAAAGTTTCATAGAAACTAATATTTATACATAGAGAATAAAAGGAAATATTAGATGTAATTTGAAGATCTAAATACAAAAAGATATGATGATAATTTAGATTTTTAATTGTGAAATGATAAAATTGTCTTTGCAATGCTTTATAAGGATAAAATAAAGAATTAAAAGTTTTTTATATTAAGATATTTTTACAAGTAGTATAAATATAAATATAAATTATTTTTATTGTCTGTCCATTTATCCCGTATTTGAATAGGACATTTAGGCCTAGAATAAATCTTGCGTGAAAAGTGAAATTAAACTTTGGTATATGAGAGAAGTTCATGTCCCACGCAAGATCCAAATTGGATACGGAAGATGAATGATCAAGTATTCTCATAGTCAGACATAATGTGACCAAATCCATGTTTGAGACTACTATTAAGTCAAATGAGTGAACTTGGAAAAACTTCTTCTTTTTTTTATCATATTGGATCAGGTTAGACACAATTCTTCTTACTTACCAAGAGAAATTCATCTTGTAGGAGTATTGCACGGTTCACCTCTGATGCCTGCTTTGTTGGATTTCCCCAGTCGAGCAAGCAAATTAAGCAAATTCGAATGAGTTATATCTGCTATATTGACCGAAGGAATAAAGAAAGACTATTTCTCCTCTTGATCCATCTAAATCACACCCTTGCTGATCCAATGGCCAAGAAATAGCATTTTTGTCTTAGTATGCACTTGTGATACTTGGACAGTTGGTGACACCTACAGTCATATCGTTTATTCTACCATCGACCACCCTATAGGTACCTACATCACCGTCACCATGCACACCTTCGTAGGAGACAATTGATATAAGAGATGTAACTCAAGTTGATGCTCAGTCAAATACATCATTGCCTCGATATGATGTGAATTCCATCGAATGTTCCACCGATGACTCATCGACCTATCGCTTCCATTCCATATACCACTCTGCAAGAGTTAATGAGGGTCCTTTTGAGGCAGTGACCCAAGAGCCTTCACTTTTACACACAGAATGCGTGGAGTTAAGGGTCGTGAGAACCATAAGCATGATCGTGTAGATGTGGGAGTGTCACAACTGGCACAGAAAATGCTAAATCTGCCTGAGGGACAACAACAACCCAAGCAACATATATAGGAAGTTGCCAGCATGTGGGACTTGGTGAATTTTTGTTATCTTTAATTTGTATTTTCTTTGTCGTTGTATTTAACAATTTCTAGCATATTAATTTGTTTGTTAGTTAACTTATTATTTATGTTGTACAACCGGGCGTTATGCCACAATTTTATTTTGGTGACAACAACACCAAATACAGACTAATCATTTAAACCAAAATATTACAACAAAGACCAAGTTATAATAGAACAGTTGCAACACAAACCAAGAATTCAAGGGTGGGATCAAAAACTTCACCTGTTTGAGGTACATCAACCTTTAAGCCCCCTTTCCCCCTCCCCCCAAAAAAAAAAATGTTGATTTTTTCATTCATGACCTCAGCATACGTAAAGCCTCTTTGTTTAAGCATGGAATGACCCTTTCTTCCGGTCCTCGTCGGGTTTACATGTATCAACATAATATACATCAGAAAATCAAGCATTTCTACGGTGCAGGCAGTTCATATCGAACCCACCAATAACCGAATAAAATATATTCTAAATCCAAATGTTGTGGCACCGGACAACTGATCGCATCTAGATTGAGACTCTAGAATTGAAGAGAGAATTTTCTCCTCTGACTCGTCATCAAGTAAAAACCAGTCAAACAAAAAAACAGTGTCCTTCATCAGTCCTCCTCAACATGCTAATGTACACAGCTGCCTGGAGTGATGAGCACAACATCTCTAATGATACGAATGATTTGCTTTCAAAAGAAGATGATGATTCACCTCCAAAAGACAATGATGATGTTGATGATTTCTCCGCAGAAGATTGTGCCAATTTTCCGCCTAAAGACGTCCACGAAGTTGTAGTTGACATTTGTAGAAGAGGAGCGATTAGTCCCTCTATTTTTTGAAGGTTCATTATTATCCATCTCGTTCTGTTAGTATTAGTGTTTGAAATTAGGATGCTGGTGACAGCGCGAGAAAAGGGTGTCATTGATTTGTTGAACCCAAAACAACGTCATTAAACTTAACAACATAATTTATTCCTGTGATATTTGGTATCGATAAAAATAGAATGAATAAAAAATAATGGATGAAAAGTAGGATAAAAAATATATATTTTTTTTATTTGATTAAAAAGCAAAGATGGAAAGAAAGAAAAACAATCCATCTGCCCACCATTTATTATCCCTCCATTTTTTTTTTTTTTTGGCAGAAAATGGCAACACCGGCTGACAGTTGGCCGATATGGAGTCCACAGCTTTTATGTAGGAGTTAATTACCATGTACTCCTTCGGAGCCCGTGTCTCAAGTCAGATATATTATTCATATTCTATAAAAAGTATTTTTGATTTTTTATTAATAATAATCCTTTGTTATTTTTTATACCAAATAAAATAATTTTATTTCTTCTATTTTTCGTCATTCTTGTTAAACACAAGATGAAAAAAACATCTTTCTTTCTTTTAAAAATAAAAAGTCTATTTCTCGTATTTTTTTTTTAATTTTTTATTCCTCCCGCCAACTGGACCATGACCGGACCATAACCGCAGACAAGCCAGCACAATGAGTGGAGAAGAACCGTGTCGTCATCCCAATAGTGATGTAACCACTGAAAGGTATAGGCCAGCCAACCATTCAAACAGTGTGAAAAACCCATCACAAGCCCACATTTTTCCCCATCTTCAGCTGGTTTTCTCTCCCAAATCAATCAAACAGCAAATAGATTTGTAATCCACTGAATACAAGATCATCTCCCCTCTCCTCCATATAAAAACAACTCGTGATCTTCATGGACTGCCAATCAAGGTATACAAAAAACTCACCAAATAATTCAAATTATGGGTGCTTCTTGGGTTGTCTTGGGTAATCGTCGACATAGTCTTCTTCTTCTTTTTCTTCTTCTTCTTCTGCGTCTGTTTTGTAGCTCGGGTTCAGAAATTGTGACAATTGATATTCATAAAGCTAAAGATCTCCTCCATTCGGGTCATCAGTATCTCGATGTCAGGTCTCTCTCGCTCTCTATCCAAATTCTCTCTAATTATGTTGTGTCCATGTTTCAAATTTTTATCGGTTTCTTCAAAATTTCTTGGTTGTGATTTTTCTTTAATTTGGGAATTAATTGAATTAACAGGACTGAAGAAGAGTTTAAGAAGGGGCATGTAGAGAACTCTTTGAACATTCCTTACATGTTCAACACCAAGGAAGGTCAATTCTTGCCTCATCCTTTTATTTAGCCTATCCTCTTTTCTTTTTTATATTTTTTTTTTGGTTTAACGGTTCATAAGAGATAAATTTCTCGTGTTTTCGTCCCAAGTCGTCAATAGTCGAACTCCCATGACGTCCGAGTTTACGTGTTGTTTTTGTTACCACTTTGAGGTGTTTTCAATTTATCACTTGAGTGACCTTTGGGATTGTTATTTTTATTTTTTGTAATGTTGGTAGTAATTTCCCTGATTATTATTTTTTTTTTTTGCCAATTACTGACATTTTTATGATGATATTGTATTTCAGGCAGAGTAAAGAACCCCAAATTTATGGAGCAGATTTTATCAGCTTGCAAGAAGGAAGATCATCTTGTGGTGGTAAAAATAAAAACTTATCCTTTTCTAGAAATAGTAAATTTGCATTTAAACTAGGTAGGTGTCGGAATGTATGTGGTATTTTGGTCACCATGATTTAAAGTCAATAAGGAAAAGCCAATAGTAACATTTATCCGACTCGCTTTCATCCCACCTGAAAGCTAAGACATTTGATGCAATAGTTAAACTATCTTGAATAGTGGGGTTCATTGAGTTTGATTTTAATTGATTGGTGATAAATGTGTCAATTATTATTGAAAATTTTCTCTCAACTTCGACAACAATTTTGGCCCCATATTTTACCGTCCATTGGCAGTGGCAGTCGGGCATCGAAGTAGTAAGTCAATCGTATCGAGTGACGCGGGTTTGTGTTAAAAAATATTTCTCTCATATCTAATCATTTATTACTTTGTGTCTAACAAATTATGTTTATATCAAATTCGTGTCATATATAGATTGTATATAACCTGAACATAAATAAGTGTGTCATGTATTTCTATTGACTAATTTTTTTTCATTCGTTTATTAATCGTAATCGTGTCGGGTTAGGTTTACGCCAATGAAATAGGTGACTTAAAGAAGACTCTAACTCTTCTAATTTTGTGTCATATTAAGTTGGTAACGGGATGCATCATATTTTGACTCTTAGCCACCGTCCAAATCGCTGGCCTAAACTAAATAGGGAAAAAATTGAATTTGTTTACATTACTAAGTTAGGTAATTGGGACATTTTTTTGGTTCTTTGGTGTCTGATTGATGAATTATTTTTATGTGTGAAGGGCTGCCAAAGTGGTGTAAGGTCTGTATATGCAACTACCGATCTTCTTAACGAGGTGAGTTTATTCCTCCCCCTTTTTGCTCACTTATATTTTCCATTGTCTTTTTGTTTTGTTAACATTTCAAGGGATAAGTTTCCATTTTTTGCAAACAAGTATTGGAAATGTTTATTACTTATGTAGAATAGTCTTTTCACCAAACTCCAAATGTATGATTCAAGGTAAATTTTTGTTTCTACAAGCATTGAAATCAACCTCCATATACTACTCTGGGGTGTGTTTGTTTTGTGGATTAGAAGGATATTCAGGGGTGGGATAGAGTAAAATAGTACCTAGAGCCTACTTATACCTTGTTTGTTATGTCTTTTATGGTTAGTACTGTGTTTTGGGTTCAAATTCTAACCCAACAGCTATAGTATCCTTTAACCCATGTACATGGGTATATTGAATACCACCACCTTGCATCATTTAAACCCATTTGGTTATATAAGTGATAAAGTTCTGAATTTCAGTTGCCATGTACTGAACAAGTTCTTCCTTTATTTTCATGGTAAATTGAAAGCTAACTTGCTCAAATAAACTTGCAGGGGTTCAAACATGTGTATAATTTGGGAGGAGGCTATGCTGCATGGGTAGAGAATGGTTTTGCTGTGACGAGGCCAAAAGCAGAGCTGTAATCTATTAAATTGACTATGACACTTCCATTGCATGCATCAACAATGGAGATTCTGATTTCCCCAGCAAAATACATTTGATTTATTGTTATATCATAAACAATAAATTTATCAATAATTTAGCAACTTAAAATTATAATCTGGTCTCCTGAACAGCTAATTTTGTCTCAAGGTATCCTCTCGAATGACATGTTTCTAGCATAGCATCTCTACATTTTTTTTAGTTCAACGATCAAGGGTGTCTTGGCCAATTTACATGCACCTCGATTAATTTTTTCCTTACTCCGGTCAAATGCAAGTCATCTACGTCGGGATTAGGGTATTCGAGCTCGGGACATCTAGATTTACATCTTGTCTCTATTACTACTTAAGCTATTCCTTTGAATTAATTTCTCATTACTCTATCGCAAATATACATTAAAAACTATGCAGAGAATTGTGTCACTTTCATGCTTAGATTGTGGGATTTTGTTTCATTTTGCCCCAAGATTTAACATGTAGCATTTGGGATTGGATCATTGGGAAATCAATTCAAATAATAGTGTTGTGAAAATTTCAATAGCTGAATGGACAGAATGAGATTGTTGCCATATTCTAAAGATAGAAATTGTAATATACAAATGTATCAAATTTCAAAACGAGTGAGCTTTTGAACATGCCTAGGTTGGTAAATTTTCAATTTTTTCACATAGATTCATAAGCCAAGTCATGATGCCTGGTGGGCAAATCTTCCTTCATTTTGCTCAAGCAAGTAAAAAGAAGATTATGATGTTACTGATAGAATAAACTTGCCCGGTAACAACTACTCTTGAGAAGTACTTTAAAGGATCAAAAATCATATGGCCAAGTTCTACTTAACATCTAATTAAATTTTCTCCATTTTCTCTCTCTCTTATAGCAATTCTCTCACATAGCTGCAAGTTATACCAGGATCAGTTGTTTGGATTTACTTCATCTCTAATACACTTTTTCTTCAATTCTCTTCTTAGTACATCATTCACCATTAATGAATGAAGGACCCACTATTACTAACTGTAATACCCCAAAATTCACATTGGAAGGTATTACAATCTAAAAATTATTCACATCACGCGAGCAACTAATAAGATCCATAAATAAAGATAATTTAATTCTCATACATAATATTTACAACATTATTCCAAAAGAATATGCCACATCATGACTATTACATCCAAAAGAATATGTTGAACTATGACAATTACATCTAATAGAATCAAATTTGAACTTTACAGCGGAATAACAAAAGGTTAGATTTTACATAGTTTCAAAAGGAATTTCCTAGTCTATCACATAGGAGAGTATAGCCCTAAGCATCCACCTCAGGATTCACGTGTTCATCTATTGGAACTTCCCAATGTACTGGCTCATCGACTCCGAGCTCCTCCTCTTATACAAAATTTAAAAAATATATTGTTTGTAGGGTGTGAGCACTAAACTCTGTAGCAACATCATCCAAACTCGAACAAGGTTTAGAAAAAATAAAAAATAAAACAGTTCGGTCTCACTTTTCAAAATAGCATATATAACTTGAAATAAAACGATGATAATTTGTTTGATCTCAAGTTAACTCAATATAAATAATTTAAATGAAAGGAATAAGCATGTCGGAGTGATATAAATCAAATAATCATTCAATAATTTCATTACATATTTTTCATGTATGTTGGTTGCTTCTCATGAATCTACACCACGAATCTACCTCGTTCACCCACCATAATTGTACAATCCCAAAATTTTAGGAAGGACGTATATCGTCTGTTACGGCATTGACAAATCCTTCCCAAGAAAGGTATATCATTCCTCCGCCTCGAACTTACGTGAACAATAGTGGTTGCTCTCACAAACAACAAACTACTACAAATGTTAGGAAACCATCTCACCCCTACTGGAAGAAACTAATCTCTAACACTTTACAGCATTGCTCGAATGCAAGTCAAGTCCATTACAACAACCATACAACAGATGCAATAACAAACATTTTCTCAAATCACAAGGAAATTCAAAATTCTCAAATTTTATAATTTGTATTACAAAAGAACAATTTAAGAAAATAAGTAAGAGATCATCAACAATCCATTTTTATTGTTTATTACAAAGCACTAAAATTTTGAAATCAAGAACAAGGAAAAAAAGTCAAGAGAAAAATTCATTTCTCTTAGAAACTAGGGTTTGAAGATGAGAAAAAGAGCTTTAATGGTTACTCAACCATAACATTGTTTAAAATATGGTAATAATTGCAAGAATAACAAGAATCAAGATTTTATATCATACATATATGATTTAGAGTCAAGAAGTACACACATATATATAAGCCCTAATCTTAATGTAAGAGAATAGGAAGAAACATTTACCTTGAATCCGAATTTCTAAGCTAACCCACGCTCTAGCAACTCTCTTCCTCCCTTTTCTTGTTCCCTTCTTATCTTCTCCTGGAGTTCTAAGAGGTTTGAGTGAAAGTGAAATGAAAGAATTGAAGAAAATGGGTGGAGAAGGGTGTTCTTGAAAAATTTAAAGTTTTGATTTTCTTTAAAGTGTAAATCCTTTTTATCTTGTGTTTTTCTCTTCCTTTCTTCCTCTCTAAGGTTTTCTAGGGTTAGAAGTGTTATAATAGGGCTAAAGAAGGCGTTCTTAAGTATTTATAGTGGAAGGAGGGCTGGTTATTCGTCATCTGAATAAATCAGATTTTTTTAATGGGAGTATCATCGGTACGTATAAGTTACTGGAGTTCGACGTACCGGTACGCTTGTCCAATTTTGTCTTTTTCACCTGTTTTTCATTTCCAATCTATTTTTAATCCTTCCAAAGCCAACTTAAACTTCCATAACATACATTTGTACATCAAACATAGTTAGTATAAGTTCTATTATAAACGATTCCTATATTTACAAGCTAAAATTAAGTTTTAACTACTATTTACTCGAATTTTTTTTTTTATCATATTAACATTTCAAAAGAAATAATTACTTGCTATATATATATATATATATATATCTAAAGAAAAAAGTGTGGGGTTTACACTAACTAAATGATCCACTTGTATATAATGGATTTCACTTAAATGTATGGTAGATGATGTATCAAGAAGAAAATTAAAGAAAAAATATATTTGAGAGAATATCACTCTCAATTGTCCCTCTCTAAAAACAAAATGCGCCAAAGTGACGAATAGATATTGGGAAGGTGGCTAATTTGAAAATAAATTCAAGTTCTATGAGATTCGAAGAAAGTTTGATTTTAAATTTGAGATGAAATGGATCCTAAAGATTTTGTTGATTGGGCATAAAATAGGGCTCAATATCGGTGAAACTGGTCCAAAAGTTCAAGTGTTTAATTACTTTATTTAACATCAACAACATATCATAGAAGAATCCAAAAGCTTAATAAACCCACACTCATATATTCAATCTGCACTTTGGAGTCACTTTACACCGAGGCATTGAATAAACAATATTTTACAAGCTTGATCCCAACTTAGGGTGGTCCTTGACAGATCAACCACACAAACTTTTTTCAATGGGTTTGTGTGTAACCATTGTTTTAGACTTCTTAGATTGTAATTGGTATGATTGTATGAGAATCTTCCTTTGGAATCATCTGCAGATGAACCTAACATGTATGTAGATAGGAAAATTGTATAACGATAATTCAACTATATTATATCAGAACCCTTGCATACGATCCTAAATAGAATCAATTTTTATCTATTTTAATTCAATGGTACAAAATTTATTATAAATTATTTTTTTTCATCCAAAAACATTATTTTTTTCCAATGACAAGCAATTCAATCAACGCACTCCTCAAAGTTAAATAATCTTATCAATTCATACCCACTTCTCCCTCCTTTCCCTTCTCTCTCTCTCCTTAATTCCTTTTTTTTTTATTTCAATCCACACTTACCCCTCTCTCTCTCTCTCTCTCTCCATATATACGTGCAAAGTGTGTTTATAAGATTATCTTCAACTATGATTCAAAACTTGATTTAATACAAAGAGTAAAAAAATTTGATTTAATACGAAACTTGAGTAAAAAACTTAATTTGTTATCAAGAGTTTCAATGGACAAGTTTAAATTTAAAGAATGAGAAACACAAATTTAAATGAGAGCAAACCTAAATTTAAAATAGAGTAAAGATGACTATTAAATCTTTAAAAGATGGTGAAATTTTACCATTAAAAATTTGGATACAGATTTGAGTATCCCATGATTGAGTAAAAAAACGAGTCTCCCTTAATTTAATATAAATTTTGAGTCAAATATTAGAACAAGTTTTTTAGACTGTATAATTGAAATTTAAATTTGAATCATAGTTCGAATTTGAATCATGTTCATCGAAATCTATTGATTTTTTTTTTTGACCAATTATTTAAATTCAAATTTATTATAAAAATCCAAAATTTCAAAATGGAAATTCGAATTCACATTTGAAATTGGGCAAAATTAATCCGAATTTAATATGTTGACCATTCTTCCTCAAAGGATTCGGACGTGAGACTCGAGGGAATGTTGGCATATTTTTGTTAAAAGTTGTTCCAAAAGAATGATAAAAACCATTAACCCTCCCCTATAAACAAACAAACCACGCGTGCTCCTAAGTCAAAAAAGACAATACAACCTCCCTTATATAGAGTAACATATATACTATATACCTTACATAATCATATCATAATAATTAATTATGAGACAAAGATTGATTATTAGCTAAATAAAAACACCTAGGAACATGTAACCGTTCAAGCTTTTATAAATTCATATGACACTTTTATTTAGTCGATGCGGAATCCACGAACATTCTCACCCACCCAAAGATGCGACACCCTCAACACATTCGACTTCACCTAAGTTGCTCTGAACCTAACTCGACCCTAGTATTTCAAATAAGGGAGGTGTCTATGGTAAAAAAAAAATAATAAAAAAAAATTATAAAAAAACCTACAAAAATAATAAATTTTAGAGGGTGCTGAATTTTTTTGCCGAGTACTATAGCAAGACCTCAAATAAGGGACCTATATTATTGATAGAGTTTTGACTCGTTAAATCACACTCTAATAACGGTGATATCATGTCAATATTGATGATATAATATCATTAACTGGTAATATTCCACTTGGACTTACGTAGCAGAAGAG